GCCGCCAGGCAGTTCGCCGCTAGGCAGTTCACTGCCAGGCAGTTCGCCACCAGGGAGCTCGCCACCAGGCAGTTCCCCACCAGGGAGTTCGCCACCAAGCAGTTCTCCACCAGGGAGTTCACCACCAAGTAGCTCATCAATTGGCGCCGTCTATGGGAACACGCTACAAAAAGTTAAGTTCGCATCCTACAAAAGCTAAGTTCTCATCTTACCAAAGTTAAGTCCTCACTTTTTAGAAATTGAAGCTATCGCCTTATAGTTTACATTTTTTATGAATTCAAAGACTATGCAGGGAACTAACAGACTAAGTAGCTCTACCAACCTTACTTTCAATTTAGATAATGCCTCATCAGTCCTCTCCGCAAGGTCCCCCCTACATAAGATGAGCTCTTCGTGGCTTCCGCGGGAGTTGGCGGCCAACAGACTACATAGGTGCCCTTACCAGTCGAGCCTTCCAAGGCTCCCGTGAGAGCTGGCGACCTAAACTTAGTAGTGTTGCCCCCGAAGGTCGAGCTCCTAGTAGCTTCTTATAGGAGTGGGTGACTGGCATTACGAAGCTGATGCAGCACAATCATAGCTCGACACCTCACAAGCAAAGCCTAGGGCCACATTACCACTTAAGACCCGGTCGTCCGGCACGAGAAAGTCAAAAAAGAGTAGACTACGAGTCACTCCCAAAGCCTACGGGCCACATTACTGCTTAAGACCCGGTCACCTCTCCGGCACGGGCAAAAGTCAAAAAAGAGTAGACTACAAGTCACTCCCAAAGCCTACGGGCCACACTATTGCTAAATATCCAGTCGCTTCCTCAGYAGAAGCAAAATCAGCAAAAGTGAACTTTAAATCACCCCAGAGTCTAAGGGCTACACTACTGAACTAGCGGAGACCCCCTCGCCTTAGTGGCAGCTCGCCACATACAGGCAGCTCCCGGAGCCTAAGGAATTGGATCAGCACTTACTAGCTCGTCGATTTACGGGCCAAAAGAAATCTACTCCCTTCACTGAGTTACTCTCAGCTCAGAAGTGGGGGGCAATTGATGAGGGCAGATTTGGCCCTCCAGTGAAATTGCGACATGTGGCACCTCGTGACAACTAGGCAAACACCCAGGCAACAACTTACCAAGTTGATGTCCCACCCAAGCACCGGCCTGGCACATGATCCAACCTAGCCGACCTAGTTGCCCATAAGACACCCATCGAAAAACTCGGCATGCATACCCCACAAGCTCGGTATCTCACCAAGGAGCTCGCCAAGGAGCTCGGTAGCTCACCAAAGAGCTCGCCAAGGAGCCAGGCAGCTCGCCACAAGTAGCTTGGCATAGCTCCCCCAGGCAACTCGCCACTTGTAGGGTAGCTCGGTACAGGAGTAGTTTGCCGTACCGCAAGAAGATCTCCTGCCTGGCAACCTAGCCTAGACACCGACCCACCGACTGACACAGGCGCCGACCTGACAACCTGGCCTAGACACCGACCCGCCGACTGACATAGGTGCCAACCTGACAACCTGGCACAGACACTGACCCGCTGACTGACGCAGGCGCCGCCCTGACAACCTGGCCCAGGCGCCGACCTGGCCGCCTGACACAAGCACCAGCCTAACGACCTCGAGGAGTTCACCACCGTACCCCAGTTCTGACGGATGTGACGAGTCTTACCGTTTGAAGGCTTCTCACCCACCTAACCCGCGAGGACTCCGGTATATAAAGACCTCACCCCCCAAAGGGGAGAGAAAAATGGGGAAAAAGGATGGTAACCCCTGCTCTCTAGCTCTCTCATTTCTTTCCAAGCTCTCTGTAATCAGAATGCTAACTTAGGCATCGGAGAGTCCCCGCCGGGAAAATACCCCCGAGTCCTCTGATTCAGTTCTCGTAGGTTCCTCAGCTCCCGCTGCCTACAAAGGAGAGGAAATCACCTCATGCAGAGGGTAGTCGGGTTGCGCTGCACCAGGGAGCTCCACCCCCTCTGAGTTGCGGACCGCCTAGGAGCAGGTCAAGTGACGAGTCCACCAGGCAGTTCGCCGTCAGGCAGTTCGCCACCAGGCAGTTTGCCGCCAGGGAGCTCGCCACCAGGCAGTTCTCCACTAGGGAGTTCGCCACCAAGTAGCTCATCACTAAGGCACGTCACCACCGGGTCAAATAACGAGGTACTTAGCCAAAAAAATTTATACATCACAAAAAATGATACGTGACCAGAAACAGTTACATCAAGTGGGAAATTTTCAAATTTAGGAATGAACCAACATATATATTGGCTCCACTCTTAGACATAGGGCATGTTTGTTTGCACTGATCTCTAACCCCTGACCTTTAACAATCTTTAACATTGTGAAAAGTTGTGATTTTTTGGTTTTTCTGACATCTAAATGCAAAGAATATTATTTTGAGATTTAAATGCTGAATTCTAAAAAATGACAATGGATAATTTCACTCATGAAAGTACAATTATAGGAATATTTTCTTTGAAAAGGTGAAATGATTGGAAAGGAATAAAAAATGAATTAATTTGTAGAAGACACGGGGAAATTCATTGATCAAAATATCCAAAATGTTCAACCCACCAATAACTAGTCAATAATAATATAAATTAATAAATAAATGTAATTATTTGAGAATCTAAAAAAAGAAAGCAATATTATGTACTTAATTTAAGTAATTAATTAACATTAAACAGTTTACAATAGTATTAAATAATAATAAACAAAATTAATTAATAAATATTAATTAAAATCTAAATATTATTAATAATTAATAGTAATCATATAATAACATAATATTGATTAAACAATGTTAAATAAATATTTAATATTGAAATAATTAATTATTAATTACGTATTTATTTTATTTGAATAAACAATAATTAATTAAATAATGAAGTCAATAATTGAAATAATTAATTCCGTATTTGTAAGAAATAAAATAATGTTGTCTCCGCTTTATATGAAAGAGAATAGAGGTAGGAGAAGGGCTGTTTGTTGAGGAGTGAGGCATGAAACAAGATGATGTAGTCCCCATTTCATATGAGAGAGAATTGAGGTAGGAGGAAAGCAGTGCAAATTCTGCATCAATTTTTGAGAAGCAAAATTTGCACCATGAGTGAGTTTTTATGAAACAAAAAGTGCAAATTTTGCATGGGAGTGCAAATCATATATATTACAAAGCAAATAAATGAAAAAACTGAACCATCAGTACCACAAATAAATGCAGCCTTAATATCTAAAACTCAAATTGGGTTAATTATCATACCCTATTACCCTTGAATGCTATAAAAAATAAAGGCTCAGTTTGGGAAGAGTACATAATACAAAACAAAACCTTGTATTTGAACCGTACATATTTGTATTAGCACTCTTCCCTGAACCAAAGTAACAAGTCATTTAGTTCATAATCAGACACTTCAGTCATTATCAAACGGGCCCTTTGGCCTCTGGGCATTACTTTTGATCTTGTAGGTTGTTTAGGCACATGTTCATTGCAGATCACAAGCTAGGCCCAAAGAATGTAATTAATAATCTTGCTGTTGAAGCTACATGTTTGCATCACAGAATGTACCTCAACAAAAACACAAACAACTGTTCTCCTCCACAGATTCTAATATCGTTTGGCCCAGTACATGTAATTGAGGAAATTGAGAAAGTTCAGAACACAGAGAAGTGTGTAAAAGAGGTCCAAACGATTGTGATTCAAATCGTTTCCTCCCAGCCAAGCAGCTCCAAACTTCTGAGTCACAGAGTTGGCAACTGAAACAAGCACAGAGCTGAGGAAGTAGCCCATGGAGGTTGAGCACCATGACAACGCAGTACACATGCTTCTCATTCTATCAGGCGCCTCAGAGTAGAAGAACTCGAGCATACCGCCAAGCGTAAGCATGTCGGAGAAGCCTAGCAGAAGGTACTGCCAGACCAGCCAGAAGACCGACAATGTGACATTCCTGTTCGCAGCGCGGCGCCTCATAGATTCCACCACCGCGGCCACGGCCATTGATCCAGACGCCAGCACGAGTCCTGTACCGATCCGGCGGAGAGGGTGCAGTTCATAACCTTTAGGAGAGGAGCTCTTGAAGAACAAACTGGCCATACGCTCATATAGGGGGATGGAAACAAGCATGATTGTGAGTGGGAACACAGCAAGGGAAGGTGTTGGTATCTCAAAACCACGAGAAAGTTTCTTGTTCATGATACTTCCTTGTTGCACAGAGAAGGTCTGTAGTTGGGCCAAGCAGCAATTCATCATGATTGTGCTTGCAAAGATGGGAAGAAGGCCAAGGAAGGTCCTTGCTTCTTCAACTTGGGCAGAACTAATGGTGTTGTCCACTAAGGCTTTGTTTAGAAACCTGCAAGTATTTTTCTCTCTCACTTCAGTGTGCAAGAAAATTTGTTTGATGGGCCTTCATCATGCTCAGTTGGAATAAAATGGGGCCCATTAGATAAAACCAATATGGACTATTATTCCACAAATGGGCCATCCAATCTCACAAGTCACAACGAGAGAGACGAGGAGACTTGCCTAAACTTGTTATGAGATCTCCCATCGACTTCATTCTGATTCTTCTCCTGGGGGGATGCTTTCCGGTTTCGAATTGTAGACGCAAGTACCTTTAACAACAAAGGAGGAACAAAGCAGAAAAACAGAATGATTTTGCAGGGTGTTTATTAATATCCCCAATAAAAATAAAAAAAAAAAAAATTGGCAAAATCAATGGTGCATTCTATGGAAATTAGTGCAACAGACCACCGGTAATAAAGCAATACGTTATAATAACATCTGTAACATTGTTGAAATCTTTAATTAAAATAGTAGCCCATATAACATTTTGAAATTTTGATGTGATGTTTCATACAAATTTTGAAATACACCGTGTTAAACTAAAAAAAAGGAGTTTCCTTTTAAAGAATTGGGAACTGGGAATTGCTAATGGGCCTTCAATGCCAATGGCAGATGGAGAAGACCTATGGCTACAATGGTGCCCATCTTGGCATGGCGTTCTCAAATTAGCCAAGCATGGGCCGTGCTTGCTCAAGTTTCATATTGTTGACCCTACCCATGCCTACTTTTTCAGGCCCAATTCATGATGGGCTCAATATTATTCATATCTATAATTCATAAATGACACTGACATTGCTGCAACTGGACCTAATTTTGAGGTACATTTACTATGTTCATGTATTTTGTCATCACCAAACAGCAAGGTAGGTGTGCAGCACATGGTATTAATGGTGGAGACTGGAGAGAAAAAAGAAAAGAGGTCAGATTTGTGTAGCTTTTCTGCGTAGGTTAAAGCTTCTAGCAAAAGTGGAAATCCTTTTCATTTAAATGGTCGAAACTCAAAAGTATTGAGCTTGAACGGCCCAAATAGAGATCCAGCCTAGAGGCAGCCCATTAGTTATAAAACCCAGTTGGATGGTATAGCCGAAGTTACTTGGGACGCGTTTGGGGCTTCTCCAATGGGCTTCTTGGGCTTAATTTTCAATTAGGGGAAGCCAAAAGCCAGTCAAAAAGACATTGTTTGGTTTTTTATGAAAATGCTCTAAATGGGTTTTTTGAATTAAAGATCCCATTTGAAAAAGCAGAAAAAAAAAAAAACTCCATTTAGCTTTTAATGTTTGCAAGAAGCTATTTTGGGAAAGAACAAAAAAATAATGACCAGCCTCCAGCCATACATAAAAAAAGAAAAAGAAAACGTTTTTTTTTTCAAAATGCTCATTTCAAAATATGGATTTTTCAGAAGCCTGTTCATCCAAACATGGCTTTGAATGGTTAACATGTTCTTTACCTTGAGAAACCTAGTTAATGGACTCCCTCCCGGACGTTTACATCTGTAGAATGGGCATCCAACGAAGAAAATACAAAGAGCAAGACAGAAGACCATCAACGAGATTTTGAAACCCCAGTTCCAACCTATGTTCTCTTGGACCCAGACCATGATAGTCACTGCTAACAGGCCTCCTGTGCAGAGCGAAAAGAAGAACCAATTGAAGAAGCTGGAAATGAGCCTCTTGTTGCTGGGATCAAATTGATCGGCACCAAGGGCAGGCAAGGAGGCCTTCACCCCTCCCACACCTACGGCCATGGCGTACAGCCCTGTGTAAAGCATGGCAGATTGTGAGGAGGATGGCTTTCGGCCCGTAGGTGGCTGAAGCTGTGTGTTATGTGCTTGGATTGTCAGAATGATTAGTCCCTGCATCAGGCACCGGGCACCAGGGTTAGCATCTTCATTTTCCGTGTTCAATCCAATTCAGATCTCCTACTCACATTACCCTACAGCTGTGCTGTACATTGGGAACATCTCCCCAGATACCCCACAGCACATCCCTGCTGTGTATTGGGCATAGGGAGATGTTCCCAATACACGGCGGGGATGTGTTGTGAGGCAGACATGTGAACTCATCTTCCATGAATGTACAGCTGTAGTGAGATGTGGGTAGAGACCCGAACTGTGTTCAATCATGTAAGATAGAGAAGAATAAAGCACCATGAGCACCTTAATAATAAAACCAGACTTAAGTGTTTGTTTGATATCATTGTCACTTCTGCGTGTAACATTTGGGGTTGGTCAATACAAATTTTTGAGAAAAATGTCTTATCATATCACATAAAATATTTACTTTAACTAATAAATTGTATTCTTGACACAACCCCAAACTTTTGCAGGTAGAAATGGTAAGTTGTATTGATCAATTTAAAAAGCACCTTCTCACAAATTTGTATCGACAAACCCCAATCAAGTAGAAATAGCAAAGATATAAAGCAACACATTACATAGCCATTTCTGTTCATTTTTCAATTTGAAATACACTCAAAACAAGCATCATCACTATCATTTAGGCTTTATTCCAACTGTGTCAACTGGACTGGATTTGGAATTTTGGACCAGTCCAATTCAATGTCTGGATCATCTAATTTGTTCAAAATAGTTTTAATTTAGATTGATTCCAAAGCAAACCTGGTCCATTGACACTTGTATTCTTATCTTTTATCAATGAACTGGATATTGGGTTAATCCGACCCAATCCAATATAAGTTCATTACCGATAGACCAAGTTCAATCCAATCCAATAAATACTTTGGACTAGACCTGTTCATTGGCCGGGCTTAGGCTTGGTTTTTACCAAAATTGGAATGGACCCAACCCGAAGCCCAGCTCATGAATAGGCCTACTTTGAACCATTAAGTCTGAWCTGGTCCAATTCAATAAGTTTCATTGATCCATCCAATTTTAATTTGGATGGGTCCAACCCAAAACTGGTCCATTGACACCACTAATTCCAACTACATAGGGGTCGGCTACATGAATTCTATTCTGTTCATACTTTGCCCATTTTTCACCACACTCAGGGTTATGGCATGGCGCATCACTTTCAGAAAAAATGCCCTCACATGAGAACGAAATGACAATTCAAGATTGGTATTTGTAAGAGCATGGCAAAAGAGTTGTCCACAATAATTACAAAAGACACAACCCTTCTCATCTGTGGATTCGACTATGATATGGAAAAGATATGATATCTGAAAAACTTCTGATCAGTCAACTAAAATCATAAATGTTGTAACCAATTAGGTGTTATTTATCAAAATTCATGGATGGATTTTGATTAGTCAAAACTCTTCCCATACCATATCTTTTCCGCATTATAGATTTTTCCCTCGTTTATTTGGGCAGACAACCTCTGTTAGGGGATGATGCAAATTGATCTTCATTTGCATCAACTGATGAATTTGAATTTGGATGAACAGACACAGTTCACAGCCTTACAAGTCAGATAAAAGAAACCCAAATAATGATATAAGCTTACCACTAGTTCTAGTATTCCAAAGAGGTTGAAGGTCCAGAACCTTGTGAAAAAAGCATCAGAGAAAAAGCCGCCAAATATTGTGAACAAGAAAGAGGTTCCCATAAAATTTGTCACCATATTTGCAGCCTGTGCAATTGGGTAGTGCATTGAAGACTTGAAATAAGTAACGAAGTTTGAGGCATTTGAAATGAACACCATGTTTTCCAATACTTCTACAACTGCATAGAGCCATTCAATGTAAAAAAACAAAAAAAAAAAAAGAATTAGAATGTTATTTAAACTTCACAAGCACACCTAACACTTCATTCAAACAAACTAAAAGAAAGAAAAAAAAATGATCATCCTACATAGCATAACTCCTAAAATCAGGAATTTTGATGAAATGGAATAGCAGTGGTTTGTTCCAGCGGAGCGTTCCCCACCAGCACCCACAGCCCATTCCAGCGGAGCGTTCCGATGCATGCTGAGATGTGTATGTGAGGCACCTGTGAGGCGCGCTCTGTGGGGCACCAATGTAAACTTTGAACCATAGTTAATAGTATGTTGCTGTGCTATTCCCAAAAAAATAAAAAAGAATTATGGCTCCTATGGGGGGATCTATACAATTAAATACAAAAAAAAGGGATAAATAGACTGCAATCCACCTCAGAAATTTGAATCGCAGCCTCCTTGTATTCTATTAGTAGTGCCCCCCACCCACCCCCCCAGATAAACAACATCCTGCCCGTGAATTTGACATCAATCCACAGGCAGGATTCAGTCCACCCTAGGGGTGGATTGAACTATAAACACCCCCCCCCCMAAAAAAAAAAAAAAAAAAAAAGAAACGAATAGACCCTTAATTTAGCCCAACCTACTTTTGAGCAAATGGCCCAATTGGGTATTGGCTCCATCCATGGGCAAAAATTGTTAAAACTGTGACAGTGGTGTCTTCAAGGCTCACAGTTTATCTCGGCCCAAAGAAAACCACGTTGGCAACATGAAGAAAAAGTTTTGCAGTCTCACCATTAGCTATTATCTGATCAGAATAGGATTAAAAGTAGCAATTATCTTCCACCATGCGGAGGTAATTTATTGGGCTGAACTCTGAAGCTTGCTAAATGTAGCAGATGGACCAATTTTGGGCTTCAAAATTAATTCAACTGTGTCTAAATTCATTCAAGAAAGGGAGCCAAGACCTACATTGTCTCACCATTAGCTAGCCCAATATTAATGAGGGAATCAGTTACTATGAGAATACCACTAGTGGATCCTTATTCATAGTCTGCTAGTTCACTGCTATTATATATTGTTATTGCTTGTTAAGAAACTCTTGTCAAACCTTGATCAGGGTTCTGACCTTTTTTTGGCTGTGGATTTGGAGTAATTAACCAAATTTCTGGCATTTGAATTAACAGCATGTTTTCCAATAAACCCAGGTGTAACAACTCTCCACATCCTTATTCATATTCTTTTCTAGACCAGATAAACCCAGGTGTAACAACTCTCCACATCCACTCAAATGAAGAACAATCTCACAGCCCTTTTAAAGAATATCTTTGGAACATGAAAATTGAACATTACAGCACAAATGTAATCAAGAATAAGCTGTGAACAGTCTTAATTCTGTTCCTGATAAGTGATATAGCATCAGCAACCTTGAAGTGAAGGGTTAACAAATAGACCTCCAGACCTACCTTCTTAACCTCCAACAAGGGGAATTAGAAGTGCAAATTGGGTGTCCTATTTGAAGAATTTCAATTACATTGGACTCAGATTTGGGTTCGGGCCCATTCAAAGTTTAACGAAGTCTCAGCGGTTCAGATTGAAACAATCCAGTTTGAATCTCTAAATTCCTCCAAGTTTTTTTTTTTTCCGGAATTTTTGTATGATATTTTAATTAATAGTTAATATAACTTATAATTTAGTTATAAAAAAAAAACAAATACAAACCTGGATCTCCTTAAAGAAAAAAAGAGTCTGAACATTATAAGAGCACACATCTCCTTAAGGCTCAGTTTGGAAGGAGTACAAATGCAAATATGTACAGCATAAATACATACAAAATAATATAAAATATAAGGTTTTGCACTCTACATATTTGCATTTGTACTCCTTCCAAACTCAGCCTAATGAATTTAACATACAAATACAAGAGATGCTTCTGTGGCTATGTCATGCTCTAAGCATGTTGGCATGTTTTTCGCTTTCACAAGATCATATCCTGTCTCTCTAAAATTTTAGTCAAAAAGTAATCCAATATGTGAACACACTTCATGCTTCACCTTCTACAAGTAGATAATTGATTTAGAAAAATAGATTTTTATGATAAATTTGCAAGTTGAAATGGTTAGAATGTCTTGGAGTAGAGACCAAATCAAAGGATATGAGTTTAAGTAATAAGAAATAATTTAAGAATGTGTTTTTAGAATATAGATATTGTATGATTTATGAAACATGATGAGAGATCATTAGGTGAAAACATATTGTTCAAACCAGAAATTCAAGAAAGTGTTTTTTGGTTTTAATTTTGAAAAAAAAAAAAAAAACATATACAACTAAGCATATGCTTTCATTTTTTTAAGAACTAATTTGTTTTCAAACCAAATTGTTTTAATTTGTTTATAGAACTCTCAAAAGGAAAAACAAATCACATTGAAGAAAACCCCAGTGATTGTAATGAAGATTGATAAGCTTTTAGAAACCAAAGATCTCTCTCTCCATCCATGCTATATTTTTATACAAATGAACTTTTAAGCTTATTATCAACATGAATTGTATGTGCTTCATGAGAACCTACAACTTCTCTAAATCAAATAAACTTATTTACCACAAGGAAACGTAGCACCTCTGGTTCCCCCATGCTTTTTTGATTGAATACTTCTGCCTCTCCAGTCAGTAAATTCATCTCTTTCAATTTCCATTTCAAGTACCTAACTTAAAAAAATGACCACAAAAGTTAGAAAGGAAAAAAAAAAGCCAAATAAATTAATCAGATAACAACAATGGTAACAAATTAACCAAAAAAAAACATATAGACACATTTTCCTATATTTTCCATGTATTTAAAAACAAGGATGAAGGAAGATTTCCACCCACCAACAATAAAACCTAGAAACTCTACAAATTGATGCAAATAACAAGCATGGAGAAGGTTGAAGATGAAATAAGTGGAAGGAGATGTAAGCCAAGTTTGTTCATAAAGATGGTATATATGGACTAAAAGATAGGAACAACATAAATGCAAGGATAAGAGAGAAAACCAATGTCAAAGGGTAAGTTGGGCCAAATTTCAGAGGATAAAGGAGGCCCATACACTTGCGTTTGAAACGGTAGAAAGAAGTTATAATCATTAAAGTGAGGGTTGTGCATTAACCAATGCAATTAATAGCAGATCCAAGTCCTATACATCATCATAAAAACCTTATTTGGCATTAATCTGATAGTTGCATCATTCATGATGCCTCATTGGTTATGTTTCGCTGTCCAACCTCTCCATAAAACCATCCAAAACCCAAATAAAGTAAAGGCAAAGAATACCCAATCAGATGTCTATTTTGGACATGGGAAGACCTCAATTAATTGCATAACTGCTGGAAGAACTGAATGGGGTCTACCGTGTAGTCTTCCATTATGTGGTTTAACGTGCCCTTTATTTGGTGGGAAAAAATTTAATTATCAGATTCTTAGGAGCTATTTCTTGATAGTTAGTACAATGGCAAAATATATGGAAAATTTTCTTATCATTACCCTGTATTTTGGTTCGAGTGATAATTTGGTCCCCGAGCTTTAGAATTCAACAACTCAGTATTCAAACTTTTAAAATGTGACAATCCAGTACCTGCTGCTAACCAGCCCGTTAATTAATCGTTAAGTGACATTTGAAAAGTCAAAAATGCCCTAAGAATGTCTTTTAATTCTCTTTATCAACCATTCAAACATTGACAATAAAATAAACAGTCCCAAATTCTAGATTCTTCTAACAGTCACCAACTTTTTTGAATAGAAGAGGCTAAGATTTGAGACTGTGTTCAGCTTTTTGTCAATGTTTGGATGGTTGATAAAAAGAATTAGATGGCACTAGAAGGGCATTTTTTACTTTTTAAATATCACTTAACGGCTAATTAATGGACCGGTTAACGGCAGGTACTGGATTGTCACACTTTGAATGTTCGCTTACTGGATTGTCACATTTTGAAAGTTTGAGTACTGAATTATTGCATTTTAAAGTTTGAGGATCAAATTGTCACTTAAACCAAAGTAGAAAGTACTGATTGGGAATTTTCCCAAAATATATTGGCATGACAAGTGTGAAAAGGGTGACAATTTTCGACCCAACCCACCTGATCCACCCAAACCAAATCATTTAAGATTTGGGTTGACTGACTCAATGGTCCAAATATGTCCTAGGAGTGCTCTCCTTTCTCTGTGATCACATCTGCGCCCAACAGAGGGCACCCCAAAAACGCCCCACATGCACATCTCAGCGTGCATGGGAACATTTCCCGAAGTCATCGGTGGGAATTGTTTCCAATTCACGGTTAGGATATGTTGTGGGCCGCAAATGTGAATTCCTTCCCTGCTTTCTCTTTAACTCTCTCTCCTTCCTCCCTTTTTCCTACCCAGCCCTCGGTCTCATTGAACCAAGTAAGCAGTGCTTTCAACCAAATCCATTAAGCTACATCATCCTTTACCTCAAGGATTCAAAATCTTGATACAGAAGAGAACTTGACAAAAACCTACTTACAGCTAAGGAAATTTGCCAAAATGGTTTGCTTCTCTTTCCCTTCTTCCCTACTACCAAAACAACCTCATTCTCCTCCCTGTAGGGACGAGATTCTATGGAAAATATGACTATAGAGAGTCTTCCCCTATTTTGGATCCTTGTGCATAGGGATGTCAATTGGATTGGATTTGGTCCAACCCGATCCAGTCCAATGTAAGTCCATTACAAATCGATCAGGTCCAATCCAGTCCAATGAATAATTTGGACCATTTTGGACCAGTCCGATTCAATGTTTGGGCCGTTCAATTTGTTTAAATATTCATTTTAATTTAAACTGATTTCAACCCAAACCCGGTCCATTGACACTTATATTCTTATCTTATATCAATGGACCAGATATTGGTTTAATCCAATCAAATCCAATATAAATTTATACAGTCAGACTAGGTCCAGTCCAATCTAATAAATACTTTGGACCAGATTGGTCCAATCCACTATGTCTTTTTGATCCGTCCAAATTAATTTTGGACTAGACGGGGTCCAATCCAAAACCGACCCATTGACACCCTTACTTGTACAATATTAGTGACAGAGAATGAGACTATCTGGAAAGGAGACATCGTTCTTCCCCAGGGAGATTTTCTGGATCGGCTCCCAGTTGTTTTCAAATTGCATTTGTACAAGGTGCGTTTCCATTGCTTTTTCTCCCAATGCGGTTGTTTTGTGTCAATCTTTCCCCGAATTGACTGTTAAAAGAAAATTCAAACTTCATATTCTTTCCTTAAACTGGGGCTTTGGTTAAACGATTACCCATTTCAAAGTAAGTAGGCCTAATTTAAACAAACAAGTTTAATTCAAGTATTGAAAGGAAGCTATTACTTTTGGAGTTCAGATCAGTCCCCCCACAATGTCCCACAGCACATCCTCGTGCCATGTATTAAAAACATCTCTCGATGATGATATCATTATTTCTGATATTATCATCAGGAAATGTTTTCAATACATGCCAGGGATGTGCTGTGGAACCTTGTGGGGGACAATTTTGTGAGGAACTGATTTGATCTCTTACTTTTGATCCTGAAAAATGGTGAACCTTATAGCCATCTGAACCTTGTCAGAAATAGGTCGTCTCACCGGTTAATGGTCGGACGCTCACCTCTGGTGACCAAAAACACAATGGACAAAGGATTGATCTAAAAGGTTAATACACTTGACTAACTCTTGGCATAGATCCAATGTAGCTTTTTCTTTCACAACTGATAGCTAATTCCTTTACATAACTTTTAGAATAGGGCCATATATATATGGGCTTCTTCTTTTAACGTTAAAGGTAGTGATTGTCGGAGAGTCCCAAAACAGTAACTAACCAGCTTGGATTTAGTCGCACTTGGACCTGTTCAGCCAATTGGGCTAGGGACAAATGTCCCACTAGGTAGGATTATCTGTACAAGCTTTCTCAACTACCTAGGACCTAGCCAAACTATATATTGACCATATGAAACAAGTGTTGTGTTGAGATGGCAATTGAATGTTCAGCCAAATGAAGACAAGTATAAATCAAGTAGGAACAGAAATACTTTTACTCATTGGTGTAGGCTAAGCCATCAATCATAAGATTTATTTGTACACCAAGGTTATTCTAATCGGTGGCATTTGGCCACTCATACCAACAAATAGTGCCCAACAACATAACTAAAACTTGTTAGCAACAAACGGGTGAGGAAGACAATGTAGTCTGAGGGTTACTGAACTTGACTCATGACTATCCATGACAATTGAAGTATTCATTAAAATATAGGTAAATTGTCGAAACCCCATGTGAAGCTTCTGGTTGTTGCTGAAACCTCCTCTGAAGTTTGGTAATTGCAATCACCTCCCTTGAACCTTCTGACATAGTTGCATGTAGACCCCTTGAACCTTCTAAAAAGAGGCATTAAAAGGTCCAAAATACCCATGAAATTACTTTTGACCAAAATGTTTAGTTTCTAAATTTTCTCTTAATATGAATCACTAGGCCAAACCCTTTCAACTTCTTTTCTGAAATTGATTTGTTTTTCAAGTTTTCCCTTCATATCAATCACTCAAAGGTAAAGCTGCAACTTTAATAAAATTTGTTTTGTTTTTTTCTGTTGAAACCAGCCTCAATATTAACTGCATGGGTATTTTGTACATTTGTTCCTCTTGTTAGAAAGTTCAGGAGAGTTGATTGAAATKATCAAACTTCAGGGAATATTATAGCAATGATCAAAAACTTTAGGGAAGGTTTCAACAATTTACCCTTAAAAAACAAGACAGTCCATGTCAGTAGCCCTCTCCTTTCAGCAAAGGTATTTATCTATTTTCTCATTTTTTTGTATTTTTCTTATTTTCTTTTGATTTAAAAATTATAAATAAATAATCATTGTTATTAATAAAGCTGAACACAATTATCATGCCATCAATAAAGTTTTACACTATTATCAATATATTATATTATTAGAGAGAGAGAGAGAGATAGACGTCAGATATTTTAGGCCCCCTAGGGAATGGAATTCCCACTCAAGAGAGAGAGAGAGAGAGATATGGACGTTTGGATAATTTAGGCCCCCCACTTAAGAGTTTTAAGGAGTAAAGAACACGTGACAACCCCCCCAAAACCTAATATTAATAAACTATTAATAAAATAGTAATAAAAATAATGGTACTATAATAAAATATTAACAAATTAATAATAACAAAAAAGGATATTAATTATTAAAAATAATAGTAATAATGTATAAATAAAATATTAATACAATATTAATGTAATAATAATATTACTACTAATATAATAATAATAATTAAGTAATAAAATAATATAATTAAAATTAATATAATAATTAAGTAATAAAACTAGTATTGATATAATGTAATTAAAGTAAAATAATATTATAAATTTATTTAAAAATAATAAAAAATAATACAATATTAATAAACTAAGAAGAATAGGTGATTCCGATTATAGACTAAAACAAACAGGTGTCAGGAATAGGTGATTTCGATTCCAACTCCAAATGAACCAAACAACAACAATTAGAATCCAATTCTGATTCCCGACTGAACCAAATAGATGTTAGGAATAGGTGATTCTAATTCTAATTCTTGAGGATTCCGATTTTGATTCTAATTCCAATCCTATTTTAAAATATTATAATAATATTATTAATAAAACTTAGTAAA